ATCTGCGGTCATTTGTTTTAGAGTTACACCAAAATAAAGAAATCGCTTAAAGTGAAAATCCAATGTTGGAAAAATTTAAATTTCAAATGCTCATAAAAATTTAATTTGAATTTCCGGTGGACTTTTTATTTGTCATAAAGATTGAAAAACTTTTAAGGAATCTTGTATTAAATTTTCAAATCTTAGATTTAAAAAGAAAATTATCTATGAATTTCTAGCTTAAAATATTTTGTGAATTTTTGTGATTTTTACGTATATTGTCAAAATTCAAACTTTGAATGCTTATAAAAAACAATTGTGACTATGAATTTATTTTATTTTTCAACTGCTATTGTAACAATATGTTAAGAGCCTTGTATTAAATTTTTAAGCTTTTCTGCCTAACAAATAATTTTTCATCAATATTAATTTAAAAAAAAACTAATAATGATCGAAAATTTCAAATGCCTATGAATAGTTCAACTTAAAGCTCTCGAGATAATAACCGATCGGCGATCACCGCCTACAACTTACAAGACACTATTATTTTCACCGACTCCCTTAGCACTATCAACAATATAAAAAACACATACAATAACTCATTAGACATTGGCTTACATATTCAGAATAAAATGTAAACGTGACAGTACCACAATAAATTCAAAATTATTTTTTTTTGGATTCCCGGACACTCCAATATAAAAGAAAACGAACTCGCCGATCTTGAAGCCAAAACTGCAATTACCTCCACATTAGCGTCGTACACACAAATCATTCCATTCAATGACATACAAACGCTAATAAAGTTATAAAAAATAAATGTCAACGTAGATGGCACCAGAAGTGGACATATATTACTGCACAAAATTAAATTGTATTAAACATGATACCGGCGATAGTTGAAAATTTCCTATATTTAAATGCATAGAAAATTCGTGGTCATATAACTAGACTCAGAATCGATCACACTCAAATTTCTCACAGCTTCCTAGTAGGCAGTAGCCAAGGAAGAATTTCCAATGTGCCCATCATGCGGTGTCCAAGTCTCCATCAGCCACATCCTCACCAAATGCCGAACATACCACAATATCCGAACAAGCCACAACCTTACTGAATCACTAACAAAATTACTAAGCAATCACCAATCCCAATCCATGGCAAAGATCACCCAGTTTATTACAGCCGTCAACCTCCAAACAAAAATATAATTAATACTTAAATTTAGTAACTACCTACATAATTAATATGTAATTAATTATTTTGCTTTAAGCCCAATGGTCTAATTTGCCGAGGGTATATATATGTACAATAAAATAATACATAATACCTAGTAATAATAATTAATACTTTAAGTTGGTGTGTTCTGAAAATTGTAATGATACATGTATGTGGATTGTGGACTAAGGTAAAATCTGATTGAAATTTTATCGGAAGCTACCTATGTATACTTGATAAACCATCGTCCATCAAAACTCTTATGAAAATAATTGTTAATTGTATGAACTTAATGCACTTGTAAATCCATAATCTATCTATATAATATATATGCATTATAGTATTAAAATTATAGCATACTGCGGCCTGCGATTAACCGATTTCCTCCGATGAATATATTATTTTAAATGTTTGTAAAAAAAAATAAATAATCATAACGATTTTCACACGACTACCTATGTCATATTATTATATCTATAATATGCGTAGCTATAATATTATAAACCTACAAGCCACAACCAACTGTAACACTACTTACGACATTATACCGTCACTAGAATATGTATAATCGAAGTCTCATAATAATAAATCTTTTTGAAAATCGTGTCAACGCTCAATAATGAGTGTTATTTAAATTTCGTAGATTAATATAATAATATACTTCTATCAGATACATATTATATATAGACATAATAATATAGTACATTAATAAATATAAATAAAAATAGGTACTTATAATGTTATTATTTGTGAGTAACCTTGGAAACGACTTAAGGGTTATGTATCATTTTATAGGTAACTATATGAACATATTGTGTATAATAATATATAAGATATATAGTATCTAGTACAACCTAGTACCATCATTGACGCAACCGAGATAAAACAAAGGGGGTGCTAATAACTTTATATATAAAATGTAAATATTAAAGAGTCTTATTTTTAGACAATATAAAATTTGATGCATACCTTAACATGATACAATTAATTTTTATTTTCAAGTTTCCATAATTCATCCGGTAAAATTGGTCCTGAACTAATCGCCGGTTAATTGATCGCTACTTGCCAGGATATTGGACTGTCAAATAAAAATTACACATTCAATTGTTTTAAGTTCATAAAATGTTTAGTTACAAATTATTCCTTACATAAATTATATTATATTACAGTTAATTATGAAGTTATTTTTGTACATAATTATTTAAAAGATAAGATAATATTAATATTATAACTATTGCTCATACTTCATGTAATTTAGTTAAAATGTTGTAGGAACTTAAATTTAAAAATATCAATTGAATAATATGAAAATTTAATCTAAAATTATGAGTTATTTCTATTAAAAAGAGTACTTTAATTCTCGTATGATTATAATATGGTCGTCACATATTTTTGTAATCTGCGCTCTGCGGGGTCCTTGACACTTATGTTTAGAATAAAAACATCTATAATATCTACTATTTTCTTTTTCTTTTAATATAATTTATTATAAATTTGTATAATAGTGTATATTATCATATCTGTTATAATTAATAATTATTGTCATCCATATTGTAAATTTATCGAACAGTCCTTTATTTAAAATAAATAAATAAATGATAGTATTTAAATATTCTTTATGAAATATACCAATTGTCCTAGTATACCTTGCACATACTAAAAAAAATTATTTTTTTTATTTTTTTGTTTAATGATCAATAATCTTGGCGACCAATAAATTGTGTCCGTGATAAGTTCTTCAGAAATTAATTATTTTCGACCAATAAATACACCACGACTCCCCATATTATACTTGGACTTGATAATAATTTTAAATATTTTGTTGATATATTAAAATTATTATTATTTTTTTTTTCATGGTATTGAGAATCGGAGGAGGGACTGATATTAACATTGCTTCCCTCCGGCGTAGGCGGAAATGGGGAGAGGGCTTGGGTGAAATGTGATTTTATTTGAATATAGTTTTTTTTTAGTTTAATTTACCCCCCCCCCCAGAAATTTCTATGGATTTCCACCTATGTCCTCCGGTCATATTAAAATTATTTATAAGTATTACAATTTCATGATATAAGTAAAATGGGTACAATTTAAATTAAAATCAATAACACAGAAGATAAATGCACAGATATAAACTAACACTATATTAGTTATTGTATTAATATATATCTGTGAATAAATGATAAACAATAGATTTAAAAAAATTAGAAACTATTATAATAACATTAGGTTTAGATTATATCTTACGTTGTATTTTGATACAGATTATGTGGTCGAAGTAAAAAACATTGTAGTTGTCGTTTCTGAAATCTGAATTAAATAAACATGTTCAATCGACAATCGATTTGGATTGTCAAAATGAACTTTATTGAGTTTGTGACTTGTGTAAGTGAAACAAATATAAATTTATGATTTTGAATTTATATAGGTAGCTTTTGATTTGAAAACCGTGGGCCGTTTAAACTTGAAATAAAGTTTTACAGTGTTGCCGCATACCATAGTCTGTTATCAGCATTGGCGCGTGCGAAACCGTTTGAAAGTAACCACTAACCGTTCAGTTCTAAAATGTTAAATCAGTAATCACTTAAATTCGATTGCTCACTAATTGGTATTATTGGTAATTTTTCAGTTTATATGTTTTTTAAATATTATAATATGTTTATCATCCATCGTTGCTTAAGAATATCAGAAAGAGAAAATATCTTTGACATTTTCAAAAGTTTCTGTGCCGTTTTACACGGTTTAACATAACATTGTAATTTAAAATTTGTAGCTTATATTGATAATGCCGGTAGGTATTAGTGGTATTACATTTTCTTTTTGTTTTCAATTTCAAATCGTAAACCATCGTTTTATTGTGGTTATATTATATTCTAAATACTAATCACACATTTTTAACGATAATCGTAGCAGTACAAGTTTGTCAGTGTCGGGGAGTTGGTACCGCCGTAGACACGACCTTGCTGCTTGCATTGCACCGTTGCGGTGGACCGCCGACGCCGGACGGCACTACGGCAGTTTTGAATTTCGTTAATCCACCTCCGTCTTCCGTCTACTGATCTTTGTGACTCATAAAGTCATAATTCGTCTGTACATATCAATATATATTTACTCATTAGCTATTTGTTAATCATTAGTTGGTTTTTTAATTTCTCATTATTTGACAATCCCGTGAGACATCAGATAGACGAATTGGTGGCAAAGCGAAACCCAAAACCCGTTTGGAAAACCAACTGGAAACGCAACGCCGTCTTATCAATATTCATATGGGCGAGACGCTCGTCGGTTACGACCTCGGATCTACGACAACTATACTTGGGGAATTTTTGTTTTTGCCCGTCGATCGGCTGAAAACTGCGCAACGTTCGATTAGGGGGCCTCCGCGATCGCATGTTATGGATTCGTCGTTGGTCGTTGGCCTTTGTCGTCCGACTCCGACTCGTCCGTAACCGTCTTTCTCCGCCACCTCCACGACCACCGTCCCACTACTCCACCGCCTCCTACACCGGACGCCGCCTTGCGAGTCGTCGTCCTCCGCCGGGTGTCGTCGCCGTTAGTGGTTATCAGTCGTTGCTCGTCGTCCGGTGTAACGGTTTTGCGCACAACACGGCTGGTGCGGCCGTTCGCGTGACGTTTCTCCCGACTCGATCTCGTTCTTATTATTACTTATTTTTACGGTTTATCGCGTGTCATGCGAAATACGTTAAAAAAATTAAATTTATCGAAACATATCGTTCGTCCGTCCGCCGCCGACATTAGTATTATTATCGTCACACTATATTGTTAATACCGAATCGTTCGTCGTTACGCGTATCGCGCCTTTGTATCGTTATCGTTCGTCCCCCCCACCCTTCCCCCCACACACATACATACGCGCACACAGCCCTCGACTGGGTCCGTTGTGCTCGCCTTTTGGTCGTCGTCCGAAAAAAAACCTACGAGGCTACGACGTCAACATGCAAGTGGAAGAAGCGTTATTCGACGGTGTAAACTTGAAGCTGGCCATGGACATCAAGATCAAACGTACCGATGGTGAGCGATTAATGATTACTGTGTGCCCGCACGTTAAGTTTTGAAAATCTTGTCACGATATGTGTGCTGGTCAGTGAATAGGGTCTGTCTTGCCCCTTCGATTGGCTGGTCAAGTTTAGCTCTATCTACTTACCTAGTTGTGGCTAGCAGCAGGCTAGTCTTGGTTTGCCAACACAGCCATAGCTCTTACCTTATGTTTAGTCGTCATGGCTTGAGAAACATTCATATAATTATGTAACTTCCCTATCTAATATTAATGATTTACGGTACATTTATAGCTTTGTTTCTTCATTTTTTACTGTTTTGTTGAATGCGAAGAAAATCACTATGTGAGAATCTAATAATGGTCTTCAACACTGTCTCGTGATGTTGGTCTTCTAATGTCTTACCTTTTCACCGTCTTGCCATGATTACCTACCTGTCTTGGTAGGAACGAATTTTTTTGATAATTTTTCATTACTAGACATATTTTTCTGTTATTCATTATATTTCCCACATCTCCAATATCATATTATTTTAATTAGACAATTGAATTGAAATTTTAATATGCCTAACTAGATAATTACTTAGTTTGGGTATCTAAGTACTTACCGATTAAATTAAATATTCTTATTTTAGATGTTGTGTGTAATATACAAAAAAATCCCTACATACCTATTATATCATAAAATTAGATAAATTATGTGAGTAGGTAGTTCAATTACAGTTTGCTACCATACTTTTGTAATGATAAATTTTATGAATTTAATCAATTTTTAGGCACATATCTACCATTATTTTTACTCTTTTTAAATAAATACACCTTCGTAAATATAATTTTTACCTCCAGTTAAAAAAATGTACCAGTGTAATTAATAGGTAATCAATAGATTGTTAGTTTCTTATGTACCTAGCTAAGTAAAATTTTACTAAATAATTTAGTTTTAATTTTACCAAGTAGGTTTCTCATTTAATTTTTAAAATACAGTAGGTAATTTAGGCATAGGTGTCTGAATTTACATAACTCAGGATTAAACAAAACAACCTATTGAATGAGCCAAGGTACATATTCAAACACTTTTCTGTAAAAATATATGTGTGATAAGTACCTAGGTATTAATATTTTCCTGCTAATTTTATCTTTTACATGTTAAATCAGCGTTTTCCAACCTTTTTCCCTCGCGGCACCCTAATCCCAATTTAGCCGCGACACACTTGTCACTGACTTATAATTATATCTCGAATTATATGTATACATATTTTTTTTATACCTATCAGACTCATCATATTAAATATTAATACCAAAGTAGTTGTATATCAGTATAATACAAGGTATAATATTACTAGCAAACAGTTTAAAATGGTAAGATAGGAAAAAATATTATTATAATTATCCTAAATATTAATTAATTTATTGAAATGTAAAAACAAGATACATTACAATCACAGCAGACAACAAATGACTAACTGACTAATATTTTTAATTATTTAATAAGAAATAGTGAACAATATCCCCGATAAGAGAATCGTTTAAACTATTTTAACCAATTACCAAAATTTTACGTAAACGTTTATTAATAGCCGTGAAATTTCGTGGAACACCAATATGGACCTCGCATCACACCAATATGCCACGGCACACCGGTTGGGAAACCCTGTGTTAAATGTTTAGTTCTTAGTGTAGCTTTTAATATTTTATAAATTTACATATAATACCTATCGAGGTATATTATCAAAATTAGGTTGCTATCCATTTATTGATAGACATTTAAAAACTTAAAATATTTGGAATGCAAGTCACTCAGTGGATGACATTTTATGTTGGCATGTATCCAAACTTAAATGTTTGCTTAAGATGTTTATGCCTTATGAAGACCTACAAATAGATAGAACTGGATCAGTGATAAACATCATAGATATAAATTAGAAAATGCCTATGTTAGGTATAACTGTTATGTACCAATATTGCTGATAATTTTTTTAAATTATTGAATATGCAATCTTTCGTAATGGCGCATAATACATGGTAGATACCTCTCTGCACCTACAAACTGAAATTTCAATTGGTATTAACTTAAGTAAATCTTTGTAAATACAACTGTTAACTATATTAATCTATATTAGTACATAACCACTATTAGGTAGTAGGTACATATGATTGGACCTTGATGTATTCAGTATTTATATGATTCAAACACAATTTAAAATAACGAAGGTAGGTACCTAGCATACACCCACATACATAATTTATTGTTTATCTCTCATAAGTCATTACATATTATGAACCTATAGCTATATTTTTTGGTGCCTATGTTTAGTATTTTAGCACTGATAAAAATGCATTCATTTTTGTAGATTTCTCACTTATTTAAATTTACTCAGAATTAATAATTATTTTATAGCCTAAATATACCTTTAAATCTCTCGTTAAATCCATAAACTGTGTAAATATATTTAAACTCTAATTATTTATGATGCTAATAATTCCAGGCCATTTTCTGTAATGAATAATGGTCTGTTGTCTTTTATGTTTATTGTTTATGTGAATTAACAAAGAACTTATTGATAAATTGGCAAGAGCTAAAATACTATATTATATTGGCTACACTCATTTTTGGAAAGACCATAATATATAATAGTATCAAAAAAGCAAACCATTGACCAATGGACATTGTATAAATAGTTTTTAATTCTAATGTTATTTTTTACTAAATAAATAAATAAATAATGATAATATGTAACTACCTAATCATTACTGAACTTTATGCAGATGTACATACTCTTTAATTATTAATTAGATAATTGTTTATATTTAATTTAATTGTCTAAAGTTAGGGCAGTGTTCACAGTTATATTTTTTTGGTTGTAACTATTTTATTCATGATACCTAGGAGTAAAGTTTGTTTTAAGCACTCAAATATTTTTTACCAAATAATAAAAATGTCCTTGTTTTATTAAATGTTCAATGTAGTTTAAGAAAATGATTTTTATTTAATTACTTTTCCCCTCTTGGCCTAACTCCAAAATGTGGTATAACCTACTTACAAACTAAAAATGTATTACAAACATATTATCAAATATTATGTGTACCTATTTTGGACTTAGTAATGATTAATAATCTGAGTTTTAAAAGCTAGTAGCTATAGTTATTTTTTTTATCATAGAATATAATTTGGATATTTTGGAAGTTATAAGTATACATTTTATTACACATTAGTTATTAGCAAAGTTAGATGTTAGGTACATTGTTCATTGAGTTTATATATTATCAGAAACTTATAGATTGCTATATATATATATATATATATATATAGGTTAGATTAATTATATGGTTATGGTAGATATCGATCGAGAAAATGTAGGTACCTAATTAATGAGTTAGGTAACATAGTTTATTTCTCCATTCATAATTTACTAACTAGGTAGTATTGTATACATTGTTGGTGTTTTACATGCTTTGTTTAATGCTACATCTCATTTACCTAATAGTTACACTATCGATGAAATCTAATTACTTGTCTTATACTTAATTTAATGTGATTGATTTAGTATAAAATTAATGTAATTTAAGACATTATGCTACATATTTGTAACTAATTAATTCTTGAAATTCAATACATACATCTTATAGAATTATAAATCTTAGGTATTTTAGTGTTTTATTATCAATATCTATCTTACTATATTTTTTTAGTGTTATTAACTAGTATGGAAATAGGTACCAAATAATTGTTTAAAAGTTTGACATTCCTCAAACCTAACTGATTTAATCTATACTAATTATAATTTATCTATATTGAGAAACTGATTGTTACTTTCTTTTTTGATTTCTATGTAATGTTTAGAATACATTATATTATACTCCTTGTGTCCAACTGTTAGTTACCAGTACATAGTTACGATTGTTAATACAGTTATTTGTCTTTTGTCCATAGTTATTGTAGGTACCTAGATTGTATATTGAATTAAAATTTGTTGTGTTGGATTAAAATATGTTTGGAAGTTGAAAATTTAGCACATTCATAAAGTAAGCTTTCCCAACTTGCTTTGTTTAATACATCTGTTTTAATTATTGCTACCTATTATTATTTTATGTCTTAATATTAAATTCAAAATTTTTATTATGAGGAATCTTGAGTCAAATTTTGTAGACTAAGTAGCGTTTGCATATATTTAATTTAATATAGGCACTTATAATTAATGTGAAATTTCTGTTAGATATAAGCTATATTCTCGGCTATATCATATAACTGAAATATATACCTAGCTTTTGTTTCAGAAAATCAAATAATTTATCTTATAATACTAAGTATATATCCTTGTAAACCTCTAGCAATTTTATTTGGTTAAAATAGGTTTGTTTATAATTTTATTTTTTGAAAAGTACTAGGTGGTGGTAGTAAATTGTGTACTGGCTCATTTTTTTACCACCACCGTAGAATGTTAAGATCTTTATGTGTTAATAATATTTTTAGTAACATGTCCATGTAACTGCATTAAAGTGACAAAATTTGAATTAGTAGAAGTAGTTAATAATTGTGCTTTATTAACTATTGATTGTTTAAGTTTTACAGCTAGGTATGTGATTCAAGTTTAAATTATCTGTAAAAAAAAAATGAGTTTAAGTACTTTTACATATACTTTAAGTTGTATTAAGTAGTTAAAAAATGCTTTAAATTCATATATTATTTTTATTACAAATATGTACCTACTTTATTTATTCCTTTTTAAGTATAAAAATCATACAGCATGTAGTTAAAAATTGTTTCTGAAAAGTAGTAGATATGTATTTATATATATTTTAATTTGATTTATAATTTAAGATATTATTCACTACCCTTTTATATTATTAGGTACAAAAAGTATAATTTGTTCAAATAATAGGTAAACGTATTTTGTGTTTGGGTGGGTGACAAGACAACAGTTGTTTGACCTTCAGTAGTATCTTCTGTAGGCGGCCTGGCAGTCACAAGACCATATAAGGACGTCCAGAAAATGCAGACTCTAATGTAAGGGCCACT